AGCATCAACACTGTGGGAGAGACCCCAGCTATCAGTGTAACCTTCTCTAAATAGTTCCAATTTCAGAGTTAATCTATTGAGGAGGTGGGGCAGTTTAACTGATGTTGAATTTACCATTGAAATGACTTGCCGCCACAGAGCCACATTGGATAGCTTAATCCGATAGTTTACCATGTTCATATCTAAGAAATTCAAAAGTATACTTGGCAGAATTATCTCTTTGATGAAGCCTCTGTTTTCACTACTGAGCTTTTTCCCCTGTGCTTTATATCACACCGAATTGACTAGCTCTCCCTGCGTATCCTCTGATTCTCTCTTACCAGGTTTATCTTCCTGTTCAAACACCAGACACCATCTCAGATCAGGCTGCCAGTAATTTTTCATTACTGATAACAATCATCCTACAGGTTTTTTATAGTAAGAGTGCATCATCATGTAAAGTGAGCACCACTTCTAAGTTCAATCATTTGAAGCTAGAAAAAAGTTATGAAGCTCCTCTTCCCCTTCAGAGAAATGAAAGTTCAGGAAGCAAGGACCTCCAGCATCCTCCCAACCCCACAGATCAGAAATGTGTGCAAAACCACCAGTGGCAGCATGATCCAGCAGGCTAAGGTTTAGGACCCCTGGAGTGCCTGATCAAGAGTAAGGAGTTGAAATGGGCTCAAAACCAAGAGTGATCAAAGCTATCAAATATTTTGTGAAAACCATCCAAATTAATTTGCTGCCTGATCTATCTCGTGCTTTGCTTGAGGTCACAGACTTTACAGGATTTTACGGAGTGCAATGTGTGCAGGCACTGGATACGCCATGCTCTCAGCACTTCATCAAAGACATCTCACCTGGCACAATGCACAATGTTTTAGCTAGTGGTAACCTCCCTGACAGGAAATATTTCATAACCTAAGTTTTATGCATATGAAAGCACACAGACAAAGTACCAATGAAGCAAACATCTGAGTGTATGTTAGTCCCTGAACTTCTGCACGTGCATTGTAAAAATACATTAGAGTTACAATTCACTTTATGCTTGCTTTCAGAAGATAAAAAATTAAATTCAAGGACATACATGTCCTTGAATTTAAGTGCAATCATTTATAGGCAGTTTCACCAATTACTAACTTGAGTCAACATGGTCCTTACAATTTCCTTGCCTCCCAAGTTCCTGGAAGCCCATGTTTGAATGGAACTTGGTCAAGCACGCAGGCTGCATGCCATTCCTCCCTATCTACTGGGTCAGCAGCCTCTAAAACACGCTCACTCACTCAGCATTGTACTTAGGCAAAACCATTGTGCCCCTGCCCAGTACTTAATTGAAACCATTGCACTAAGGGCCACAGTGAAAACTGACTTGCCACCTCTTCAGTCTCTTACTAATGGGAACCAGCTTTGTCTGGATGGCATCTCAAATCTGAAGGGAAAATATCTCCCTGGAAAAAAAAAAAAAGAACTAAACAAAGTAAAACACACTCCTGATCCAGTTCACACTGCCTTTACACCTGAAACAGAAACATAAGGCTCTTAATCTCTCAGACAAGGGAAAATAAGGGAAAAGGAGCTGTTTAGAGACCTCCTGGCAGTAGAAAAGCCATGAAGTTTGGTCAGATTGTCCTGTGGACTATGAAAAATGAATTCTGCAGTGACCCAGGTAGGGGCAAACAAGGCCGATCGGTGCTGGGAAATCTGGGAGCTGATTAAGTAGTCTTTAGAGGGATAGAAGACTCTCAAAAAGGAAAAGCTGTGAGACTGTAGAGACTACTTAATGTAAAAGCACAGTGAAACAGAGTCCTTGCCTGCTATATGTCAACAGTCTGAAGTACTTCTTGAATTCTTGAATTGATGTGAACTGCTGTTCCCAACAGTTCACATAAATTCTGCTACTTCACCTTTTAGACCAACACCCAGACTTTGATCCTGAAAACCAGCTTTTGAGAGCTCACCTTTGAACTTTCAGATTCAGGTGTGGGTATCTATCATGTTTTCTCCAAAACAGAATGACCAGGCAGAAAGCCTGGAACGATTGTAAAATGCAAAGATAACTTTTTTTTCCCCTTGGACTTTTTGAGAATGCATATGATCTTGAATTTTCTTCATGAGGTTATAGCACTGCACTGTTTATATTCAGCTTCCTCTTTATTGTTCCAGGTTAAGTGTTTTCTCTTTTGCACTGTTACGGGCAATAAAGTTGCAGTATTTGCACTTCTTTGGAAAATAAACACAGATTTTCCTAAATGAAATTGATATAATAAAGAGGAAATTTTCGAAACAAAAGTTCAGTGAAAAATCATGTGTCTCATAGGTTAAAATGAAGTATCCAGACATAAAATATGGTATTTCTTATTATTTATGAACCATTCTTTGACATTCTTATAAATATTTTTAGAAGTCCATGCAAACTTGCACAAAATATAAGAAAGCCACCCTAACTGTAAGCTTAAAGAAATACATGAACAAAGCCATAAAAATAGGGGCCTATAAAATGAATACAAAATATTTCACTAATCATCTCAGAATATTCATTAAACGTTTTGGATTATTTGTAGAATATGCTACCCCTGTACCTAAAAATATTCAGACACCATTGCTTATAGTATAGTAAAAATAAGTGTGAAGCCACATTGTCACTACAGATGCAGTAAGAAGAGAATAAAAAGATGTGCTTGCCTTTCTGGTGGCATCACTCACTAGATGTCAATATAAAGTACCTTTCAGTTGTTGATTATAGTGCTGTTTTCCAGACTTTTTTAATTTTTTTCCCTCTTAATCATATTGTGCAAAACACAGCCTGCAATGTTAACCTGAGACGAGTTGTTGTAAGGTAGCCTGCAGTTTGTCACTGTAATCTACACAGAAACTCTCACTCTTGCTAAGCAGCAGCCAGAAATGTAGCCTTCTCTGCCTAGCCACTCCATGCCAAGTTGTTTCACTATTGATTAAAGGCAGATGTGGCACAGTGAGCTGCTGCCAGATAATGATGGGCATTTTCTCATGACCGATTAGGCTTCTCTTTGCTGCTCTGCAGCTCTGAGACTGTCTCCAGCAACATGCTACTTCAGTATCCAGAAAATCTGCACTGCACATTATCCCCACAAGACAGTACAGGCATTTCTCACTGGGCAGTGTCCAGTGAGATCCAGGAGTAGCAGTGCTCCTATTGTGGAGCAGAAAGCAGACTGACAATTGCAAAACTATATGACAGCAAATTCAGAACAGGAGAATTAACCAAGAAACAGCTCAACAAAAACATGATAGGGAAAAAAAACCAATGATTTCTTTTTTTCCTTTTTTTTTAGCTTGACTGCAAGGTTCTGGAATTGCAATCACCTTTAATGCCTTCCAAGTAGGGAAGGAAGATGAAAGTTTCCAACACAGCCAGCAAATACACACTACACACATATCACTAATCTCCTTATGAATGGCAGATTGACTTCTGTCAGATGCTCTCGATTTACTGCGCACATCTCATACACAGTGGGTCCAATATGCCCAGGAGATTCAGAGCTCACAGTGAGTCCAGTGCATTCTAGAAGCACAGACTTTGCTGTGCACATAAGGTAAATGCAATCAGGGGGTGTACAGTAAACCCAGGCTGTGAGAACTTTTAGTTTGATTTTGCCCAAGCCTGCACTGTTGGCCATGTAGATTTGGCTGACACAGGCCCAGAGGTTCCTGCACCCACATTCAGTGCCAGGAATTTACAATGAAAGCAGGCCTATAGATTACAGGTTTTAAAGACAGAGAATAAAAATTGACCAGAATAAGTGAATATTAATGTTCAGTATAAAGTTCATGAAAAATTTAGTGATGTTTTCTTTATTTTTTAAAATAGGAACTCTGCTTGCTTGTAACTGCCATTGCAGGCTGATAACTTCATTGGATGATTCACTTTCTTCCCCCATCCTTGTTCATCCTACGAGCTCAGATCCATAGAGTACTGTGAAAATTTTGGATTTCTCTGCTGACCTTTTGGTTTTTCCTTTCTATCCATGTTTTCCTACCTACCTGTAGTGCAGTAGCACATTGGACAGATTTCAACTCAACAAAGCAACTCAGGATCTTTAGGAAATGGCACAAGCTACCATCCTCCAAAAACGATACCCAGGAGCGAGGTGTGGGCCAGCACTCTATGTGGGAGCAGCATTACTGCCTTGCACGCTTCAGAAAGTAGGTCAGAGCTGCGTCACCTCCACCTACCCATCTTGTATCCCAAGTATAGTGTGTTGTATGCTTCAAAGGAAAACAACACAAAGTGCCTTGGGGTCTGTGTCAACAGCTCTGGGACACAGTGAGACAGAGTGTTGGGGCAAGCAGGCACATCTGTGGGCGCTCACCTCTGCAGTGCACGTTGTGGTGGGTGTGCAGGGTGTGCTTGCGCCCAGGGGCCTTGCTGCCACTGGGATGCTGCAAGGTGCAACATGCCCAGGGCGCTGTGACCACCAAGGTCAGTGTCCCTGGTATGGAATCTTCTCAGAGGAGGCCCGTGTCCTTTGCGGGTGGCTTTGGGCCTGTGGCTACCACCCCCTGAGGGGTGTTTGGGGGCTGCACACCCCTGGGCTGGCCCTTAACCATCGAGCCGGGGCGCTGCATGGCCGTGCCGCGTGGTGCCGCCCGGGGAGCGCCCTCCCAGGGGTCGCCGGCAGCGGGGGCCCGGTAGCCACCTCTCTGCCCAGAGGGGCGCGCCAGCCCCGTGGAGCAGGTCCTCGGAGCAGTGCGCGGGGGCCCCCGCTGGCGGCTCGGCGGGTCCCGTCCTGCCCCCGGTGCGGCGGGGGGGTCGGGCCAGCCCGCGGGGCCGCGCCGGAGCCTCCGGAGCCGCCACCTGACTGCGGGGCGCAGGGCGCGGGGATCGGCCAGCGGGCGGGGCGGCCCCTGCCCTCTGCGGGGGCGACTTCCCTTCGCACCGAAGTTTCCTCCACTTGTGCAGAGAGAGGCAGGTCCCGGCGCGGCGCGGGGTGGGGGAAGCATCGCGGCGGAGGAGGAGCAGATCAGCGCGGGCGGGGAAGAGAGGTGGGCAAGGAGTGATGACCTTTGCGAGAAGCCGGCGAGGGAGCGGGCCAGAGGCAGAGCGAGCGGCAGCGAGGGAGGATGGTTGCTGAGAGCCGGAGTAGAGCCGTCCCGTAATGTCACCATGTAAGTCTCTTCTCCGGTCTCTGGGGCGAGGGCTGCTGCCGGCCACCCGCGGCGCTGGGGGAGCGCGGATAATCCCCGCGGGCTCCATCGTGGGGCAGGGAACCCCGGGCAGAGCGGCAGGGCTCCCCCACCACCACCACCCACAGTAGGTGGTGAGTAATACCAGGCTTGAGCCGCGCAGGTAGGTAGGGCTGAAGGAATGGGGAAACGGGGGAATTTCACGCCGGGAACTCAGAGGGCAGGACTGGCGGGGCTCTGCCCTGTCCGGGCTCCGCGTCCGTCGGCGGCTGCCCTGCAGGCTCCCGGACGGCCGCTGCCTTTCACAGGGCACTCTAATCCCGTCCTTAGGACCGTCCTGGTGAGTTTCCCCGTGTTTGCAGACAAGTAGCGAAACCCTCGGCCCCGCTCGCCACTTTCCTTGAACGCCGGTGCCCCGGCACCCGCCCGGTCCCGGCCTCTCGGCTCGGGGCCGCGGTCGTTCACGTCGAGAAGCGCTGGCACCACAGGCACCACGGGGGGCCTTCCAGGTGCGGTGCCAAAACAAGTAGGGAAAAAATAAAAAGGGGAGAGGCAGTGCCGGACGGCCTTCATAAAACATTCCCAGCCCCACCGCGACTCTCCGCAGCGCACGGCGGAGCGGGGGCAGCGCGGGGCTCTGCCGCCGTCGGGGGACGAGGGGCGGGCGGGGGCGTCGTAGCCGGGTCGGGGGTTCTCCCTCCTGCCGTACGCTGCCTGGCCCCGGGCGGGCTGGTGCCGTTGCCTCTGGGCGCCTTCCCCGAGATATTTCTCCTTTACTGACTGTCTCTCGCCGACGGTAAGGAGAAGTGCTGAGGTTTGGTGTTTGACGTTTCGCCGGTGCGTTCGCAGTCAAGAGCGAAGACCTGTGGCTAGACCTGAGGGAATCCGTACAAGGGGAAGAGGGTAGGGCGTCCACACAGTACACCGTGAAGTTGAGGCAGAAAATGAAAAGGAGTTCCTAAAGACCTGATGTTGCAGTGCTACTGAGCTGGAAACAGCCAGCAGATTTGTTGCCTGCAACTTGGAAAAGCTTCTTTTGAAAGGAAAACCAAGGGACTTAGATGGCTCTGATAGAGCTGATACTGTTCAAATTAAAAGGAACAGTCTTAATTTTTTTTCATCTCTTTTGATGAGCATGATAGTGTTTTCAAGGTTGACTGTAAGAATAATTAGGAACAAGTAGTGCTTAACAAAATGAAATTTTTAAGGGGTATTGTGTAATTAATCTTTCAAGACATTCATGTGCTACAGTTTAAAGCAAGGATTTCAAAGTTAAAATCAACTCCTCTATTAACCTGTGTGAACTAAACTGTGAGTTGCCATCGCCTTTTACTTGTAGTTCACTTGAGAGTGATTAGGCTTAAAGTATTTTTGTTTACAACCTCTATGAGAAAAAAAAATTGTGAAATTGATCTTATCTTTCTTTTAATTTTTAAAGTGTCAGCAACATTTTTCCTTAATAGCTTTAGACATGTCAAAGACCAAAGAAAGTCATGTCAGTGTGCCTGAGGCACACTGTAGAATTCACATGTTACTTCAGGGAACTTTGACAAAGCTCTGAACAAGGAAGATGGTGTATTCAAATTTGTATTGCATGTTTTGAGACTGTACAGTATACAAATGATATGCTTCAGGATTATTCACATTTTGTGTATGTTGTCTTGCGGAGCTATATACTCCCTAAAAGGTGATAATGTTGTTCTTGCTAGCTGGCTGCTGGCACGTAGAGTAAAAGATTTAGTAGTTGGATGTAGCAAAACTTGCAGTAATCCCATCTTGGACTATGTCAAGTTACATCCATTTATGGTTTAGATAAATTACGTGTCTATTTTGCTCTTCTGGAATGAATTGTGAATAAGCTCATTGTCTCCTTATGTTATAGGAAATAAAAGTAGCTGTGGACTGGACTTTACTGAATTGGTAGCTAGAGTGGTCATATCACACAGTGTCTACTATAGGAAATGCAAGTCCATAGAAAAAAATAGTACTTCTATCAGACTCCACAGAAGGCCAAAAAACCCCAAAACGTTACGAGGGATTGCTGTTTTGAGACTACATCCAGCTGTAATGGATATACTTCTACCATAGGTGTCCTAATAGTTTCCAAATACATTAGGTAAAATGTTTTGGTTCTCTGTTTGACACTTTACAATGATTTCTTCAGAACTGCTAGAGTGTTACCAGCTGGGGACAGAACAGGGCTTTTTCATTTAAATTGATACAAAATAGAGAAGAAAATAATAGAGAAGAACACTTAGTATGCTCTCCGCAATTTTAATGTAACCAAAGCTAAAGAGTGAAATAATCCATATATGTTGCTGTGGACAAAGATCCGTCCCTTTGCTTACTCATGGTGTGTTTTAGTACATTGCTGTGCAGATAGCCATTCTCTGTGCTGCTGCTGAATATTAAATGACAGAACACATCTTTTTAATACTATTAAAAATAATAACACAAGACCAAAGAGCCATCAAGTCAGTGCTGTCAGGGGACCATATCATCCCTTGATAAGCTATAAACTAGCCCAGAACTGTTTGCTGGTTTTTGTACTGAATTATTCGTATGCTGTTTGGATTCACTTCTAGATGTTAATTAACACAAATAATCAAGAAAAAGAACTTTAAAATAAATATAAACATAGTGGATATTAAGAGGTGAATATTATCTGCAACTAGGCTGTCTTTTTAATGTCTTGGAAGTATTTGTCAGTTACTACAACACCTTATCGTAATTGTCTGGGATGTCACACTAAAAAATATCACGGATGGATTTTGTTGTGCAAGAAGCCTTTTTGTTGGCAATGTGTTAGCTGACTTCCATCTCTGACAATTTCTTGTGTGGACAAGGGTGTGACATATCACAGTGGAAAACTGTAGGCAGTCAGTTTTCTGAATTTTGACTTTTTATCTCCACAAGATCAAATATATATCATATATATCTCAAGGGTCAATGACCTTTCCCAAATCTTCGCTCGCGAAGACTGGCCATTAATATCTCATATATATAAATAAAGTGATTTCCTCACTTATTTGTAGCACTCAGGTAGAGGTTATGCTTTGTAAAATAGTTCTTCAAAAATCCTCTCCAAAAGAAACAGTTCTGACTCATGGTGCCCACATTAGTGGAGTGTTTTGGTAGCATGCCTCTCCTGTGGTCATTCTTGTGTGAGTTTGATAAACCTTTCTTGTCAACTGAGATGATGTAGTGTAAAGAGAATTGTTTTGTCCTTCAACTGTAAAACATGTAAGTGGAGAAGACAGTTTTGGTATTGTTTACATATTTGTTTATTTATTTTGGTGGAGAATTGTATATTTTTTTAATAGCAATTTTATAACTATCTAGCTTTTTTTTCTCTGGGGAAAAATCTTTATACCTACTTTCTGCCTTACTGTTTGCACTTATTTATACTCTGCTCTGTTGTTGATTATCCATGTTCTTGAAATCTTTCTTAACTTGTACTACTTTCATAAGTAAGGAAACAGAATGTAAACTGTCACCAGGGAGTACCATGAAGTACTGGCCTCATGAGCATTACTGCAATGCAAGTGAACATTAACAATAGCAAATTGGCCAAATTAAATACCTCTTTCAGACTAATGCAGAATTTCATATTCTTTAAGAAAGGCACTAAAGGCAATGTGACTGGGTAGATTCACACCAGACCTAGGCAGCAGAAGCTTGTCATGTTATTTTTCCTCAAGTATTTCAAACTCAGTGTCTTGGATTCCCCAGCTGTTAAATGAGCAAAAGCTTTGGCTGAGTTCACAGACACATCAAAAGTGATGATACAGACAATGTTTCGGTTTGATAAAAACCAACACAGATTTTTTCTGAGTTAATAAATAATTGTTTGCAGCTATTTCCTAGTCTGATAACTGTATCTGTGCTTGCTCAAAACAAAGCAACGGTCAAAAACTAGTAATGCAACTGCTTCTACACATTTGCATTCGTAGATTATGCAGCAGGATGGCATGTAGCTCATCAGTACCTGCGAATTCTTCTGTAGGAAGAGCAGTGTTCTCTTGTATCTCTGATATGTCATGCTGCTAGCCTCAACATTTCCATTTCCTCACTCTGTGAAAACATACGTATGTTGTACATGCTTGCATGTGTGTGCAACTGGTTTTGTATCTTACAAGGACTTCTGTTCAAATTGTGTTTTCTAAATTAATATTAAAAGTACTGTGGATTTATGAATTGTATACATTGAACAGTAATGGTTTCAAAACCTCTGCATTCTCTTGTCTGAAATTTTAATAGGGATTTTGGATATTAAGTTGAAGGACAATAATTCTATTGTTTGATAATCTGGTTACTTTGTGTGTCTGGCTTCATCAAAGAGATTCTTGTATTTCAGAGCCCAGTGTTTTCTGTGCTTGTCTTCAACACTTGTTAAGTTTGACTTTACAGTATTTCAGAAAAAATAAGTCTGCTTCAGATTCTTAATTTGATACAACTACCCATAAAGAACTGAAATTCTTTTGTAATCAGATACCTGTTCTGTGTAACACTGCACTAAATGAAAGCCTGACTGACTGCAGTCTTCAGCAGTCTGCTGAAGTGCCATTTACTTGGGCCCACTGGCGTCTGGCCCAGGGGGGTGCTTTGATGAACTACCACTTTCTAATCTGAAACATTAGTTGTTCCTTTATAGTGGTTTATCTTGCTGCATTAAGTTTGGCTTCTGCTTTGGGAAGAAACAGAAGCTGATACTGGGAAAGGTTTTATATTTGCCCCAGCTTTCACTGGCAGGTTCACAGCCGTGTCTGTGGAGCAAACAAGTTTTCTCCCAGTATAGGTAGATAATATCTTACTGAACAAAAAGTCAGTTATCATCACCAAATAGGAGGGGAAGGAGTTGGTCAAAATAATGTGTGTTGTGTTTCATTATATGTTGCTTCCTTTTGCTTGCCAGTAATTTGTTGAATAAGATGAGATGGTAATGTAGTGGAACACCGTTCATTTTGGATACCTGGTTAAAGACCTGTCCAAATTTATTAAGTCTTTTTTGCTTCCTTTTCTGCTCACTATGGAGGACACATTTTGGTTTAGCCATTGAATATCCTGTATGCTTCAAGGGAAAGGAAGCTTCAATTTCAAGCTATAACTGATAGAGACTTTTATATAATTGCATTTGTTTTATTAAAGAATAAAGCTGTCCCTGACTTCACTGGCAGCACAGATGAGCTCCTAGATTTTAGCAAGGAAAGTTTCAGGATTTTCATAAAAGTTTTCAGCAGAAAATGTTATAACTCTCAAAATATTAGCACTGCAAGATGGAAAGCCTTGTTAAGGGCAGAGGCAAATGATCACCTACCATCTTTATATATGTATGTATTATATATGTTTAAATAGCATAAATGTGTTTATATGTGTAAATTAGGTAAATTAAGCAAAAGTATTTAAAAAGAACCCTACATCTTAACTCATTCAGACTGTGCTTCTTGTTTCTTTTACTGAAATACCACCCACATATATCTGCTTAGAAGCCCAATGCTGACCAGTCTTACACTTTGTTGTCTGCTAAGAACCAGACAATATAATTTCTGACCCTTTTTGGCAAACTTGTGTCCCCATTTAAGCAATACTAGGGCCATCCATAATTTTCAAGTGCTGCTTTATTTACTGCTAGTTACTTGTTTGACTAACAACAGTGTTTTCCTCTTTTTCTTGTCTTCTTGGAAAACTCCCTGAATTCTTTCTTGCTTTTTCCCCCCCCCACAGGATGTCTCATGTAAGTGAAATGTGGTGCTATCACTGGAAATGGAAGCTGCAGTACTGTCTCATTTTGTTAACCACATATATTATATGCATGCAGAAAGCAGGTAAGTCAGCAATTTATCTTCTTGCATAAATAAGTGGTCTAGGAGCCAATGTTTTGATGACTGAGGATTATGCTTATGTATGACTGAATTATGTACAATATAAGAATTTGATGAAAGTTATGCATTATAGTAATTGGTTGTGATTTGTTACCTTGTTCTGCTACCACTGAATTTTCTTTTTGTTGTTTTTTTTATCATTTTGCCTTGCTTTGTTTTGTTACTCATTATTTTTGTTATTAAGTGTTACTATTTTTTTCCTTTTTTTTTTTTTCTTTTTAATTCTTTCATGCTGTCCTTTCTTTGTGTTTACCTTGCCTATCTCTTTTGAATTTCTTCTAATTTTTGGAATACTGTGAGTAATCATGTAGCTCTTCTATTTTCCACAGTACTGTTTGTGCCTGTAAATTATGTATTCAGTAACTCTTCACTCTAGTTCAAAGTTGTAAAATAACTGTAGTGTGCTTATTATTTTTAAATGCTTTTATGATTCATATAATAGAAACATTCCTCAGCAATTTATATGTATCTGAGATAATAATACACTGTAAAGAAGAATCAGTTTTAACTTGACATCGTCTTGATCTATGGTGACACTTCAGCACAGCATAATGTAATACGTTCTGACTGTTTTCTTTAAATAAATGAATGACAGGTTTCATTTACTAAATGTCTTGTCCTAACCACTAGAGTGCAAAGTATATTAGAAGCTCCAGCTGCTTTACTGGAAAAAATCTCTGGAGTTTATTCTGGAGCATATGAAAATTTTGGAGCAGCTTGTGCTCAGCTGATTCCATATCGGATGAGTAGTTTTGCTTTTACAGACTTGCCATTGGAAAAAAGGATTGTTTATATATAGCAAGAGCTTTTAACTTCTTTGATAATGTTTTTTTTTTCCTTTAGGTAAAAGGTGCATTTTTTTACATTTTTAGTACCCGCACTTTTAGAGAAAAAACAATGCAGTTGCTGTGCAGTAACAGTTTCCAGATTCATGTCACTTTATTAGGTGTTCTTCATTTTCATTAAATTGTGTAGCCAGAAGAATACCTGGGATCTGCTCTTGCCTATGACTCCATTGGCTGGCAGATTTTGTGTCCCGGTGATCCTGGGCCGTGCAGCTGCCATCCTTAGCATGAAGTAAATCGGCAAAACCTGATCTAATTTACATGTCCTGTGGGCTGTTACCTGGTGACTAGAACATTAAGACCAAAGATTATTAGCCTTTGCTAATTCCTCTCGATAACAGTTCAGTTATTGAAAGTGCAGGTGACACGGCAAGCCTAAGTCCCGTGAGGCAGAAGGTCCAAGCCAGTATGCTGTGAGGACAGAGGAAGCCAACCACAGGCTCACCTGTGCATTCAGCTAACCACAGCGTGCCATCGCTAGCTGTGCTGGTACTGAACAAGTAGCTGGGTGAAAAGACCTGTGCCAAACTCCAAGATGTGTTTTTATGAAATCGTATATGCCCCTGGCTAACCACTTCAGCAATAAAATGGTTGGTGTCATTGGATTGGTAAAAGCAGACAAAGTGTTCCAGCCTCTAACTGTTCACGCTTTTTTCTCAGGCACTGGCTTGGCATGTAGGAAACTCAGAACCAGGTCTCTGATGGAAATCAGAGCAAAGACCTGAACCTGAGTCTTTTACACCTCAAGTGCATCCCTGTGGGGGCTTTTCCTCTCTTGACTCCACAGGAACAGATTTGAAATCTTCAAACCTTTCAATAAATGCAAAAGATATTTCCCTATCTGTCTGAATGATAAGTAGATAAAGAAGGTACCCTGGAAATGCCCACATTCAATAGACAAATGTTTGCTGTTCAACAGTGAAATAGATGATAGGTAGTCTGCTGTTAACAGTCGACTGAAATGAAATGAGACATTTACCTTTACAGGAACCTGTCACTTGGCAGTGCTTGCCTGTAGACCCCCAGGATTCATATTTCTTTTTACGTTGATGTAAAAGCATAGGTTATGCTGGAAAATAGAATATTTTCATCTGCTTTTTTTAATAGAGCAAGACACACAAAGTGGGAAACACTGCTGCTCCTGCATTTTTTTATTTCATATTCTTAAAAGGTATTGGTCACCTTGGCTATGGGTTCATATGGTATTCATAATCTCTCTGGCAGCTTAAGCTTTGCTAAAGTTACAGTAGAAATATCATGAAGCCTGACATTCATACAGCCTCTCTAGTGAGCTGTAAGCTTAGAAATCTTTTGGGGCTTATTAAGCTTTGCCTAGAGGAGGTTACATACAAGCGAGGGATTAAGATCATCAGGTCTAGGTTTTATGGATTATTTAAGGGGCTATTCATTAAGATAAAGATATCAGTCACACTGTGACATGGAAAAATGCAAAAGTAGTAATTTTATAGTTTACCTTGAGAAAAACTACAGCACTTGGCCTGCTTTCAGAAACAAAGGTTAGGAGAAGGCTTACGCCGCAGAAAATTTAGAACGGGAGTGGGATGGTCTGTGGAAGCAATGTTTAGCCACAAATTGATAAGTAAGGTCCTGACAAGCAGGTGCAGCAAAAGCGCAGTCCCAAAATATAGCTCTGATACCTCAAAGGAATCAATGGATGGACTGTGACACTTGAAATAGAAGAACACAAAGAAATTATTAAAATGAAAATAATTTATAAAAATATATCATGTTAGTTAAAATCTCAGCAACCATAACTGTTTTGGCGGACTGGCTTAACATCATGTGTTGTGACACGGGGTGAGGTTACAGCACAGCTCAGTTAGTAACTTGACAAGTTTCCGTTCCTCTCTGGGGCAGATGTCTCTGATGGCCTTATGTGAGTCATTTAGCTGTGCCTCAGTTTCCCCGTGATGAGTGTATATCTCGCCTCTGTTGTAAACAGCTTACATATCTTCCAGTGAAAGGACTGTATAGAAGCTGAGATGTTAGAATGAGGGTGCTTTAAACAGAATTAGTTAAATCTGCTTTTATATCACGTTCACACATTCCTAACTTTTTGTTTCTACGTACATTTCATTGGTTTCAGAGAGCCCAAAAGAGAACAACAAGAGTGAACAGATTTGTGGAAAACATAACTAATGAAGGCAGACTGAAAGAACTAAGATTTTTTGGTCTAGAGTAGTCAGAGGGGGAAATGCATAAAAATTGAGATTATTTAAAGAGATAGTGGGAAGGGATAGACTGATCTTTCTGGGCAGTTGGAAGGGAAAAAAAGAATAGGCCTAAATTACAGCAAGGTAAATGAAGGGAGGACGTCTCATCAAAAGGTTTAGAGGAATAGACTGCCAAGAAAGGCTGGGGAATCTCAGTCCTTGGGAATGTATAGTAATATCTGCCAGAAATGGTTTAAATCTACATTCCTCTTTCCTTGGGGCCAAGAAATACATTAGATAATTTCCAAACTTCCCTATTTCTATAGTGCTTCCGTAATCATTGCCCTGTAGAATCTATTTTGGTTAAAAATCTGGGAAATGAGGAGATCCTTTGGAAACTGCACTTCTCAGAATATGACAGTGGTTTTGCTCTGCCTAAAATTTGTGTTGGTGTTTGTCCTGTTGCAGTGGCCTCATTTTTATCTCACATAAGGAAGCAGCAGTTCACTACAGAAAGTAAAAATCAGTTGCTTCGACTGTGTATAGCCTCACAAAAATGTTCAGTTTAGTCCCCCCTTGCTTTTCACTTTTCAGTTGTCATAGCAAAATGTCTAATGTTTTAACATTGTGCTATCTTTTGGAGTTGTCTGTGCTCTCTCTGGTAACCCAGGAGAAGAACTGGAGTTTTCTCAGTGACCTTAAAAGCAGATTCCAGTTTACATAATTGCTTTCCAGTCTAATTTTCAAGTGTCTTGTCAGTATTAGACTTTCAAAGTTTTGAACACTTGAACATTTGAGGAGATCACATCCTCATAAGAGTTTTTACCTTCTTATATCATTAATAAACATATAATTACATAAGAGTCAATAGACATTTCAAATGTTGACTGCTGTGCGACCATGTTTAGTTTTATTCAGAATGTGGAAAGTATTTATCTTAGTAAAACCATGAGGACATTTGTAATTCTTACTATACTATTTCTTATGCCCCATACTGATGTTATCATAGAATTACTATGACTGTAGCTAATGCCAGGGTGAGGATTTGTTGTTTTGGTCATCTGTTGGTAAAATGCACTGATGTCTGTAATCATGATTCCATGTTCCCAAAAGGGTTTAATCAGTTCCTAGAAGTTCACCAAAGAGTAGTTTCAATTCTATTACAAGCCTTGAAATTTTAATTAGTGGTGATTCAAAGCAAAATTTTGTGCTATATTTAATTCATCAAGAAGGAGAGGTTAGGAAAAAGAATAAATCTGAAAGCAGGTCCTTCACCCACGTGGCTGATGATGATCCCAATATCAGATCATCTCTGTCTATTGTGCTCCTTAATTGGGCCTATGTAGATAAAGGGGAGATTAAAGTCCTCTCTCGTTTATGGGAGTATTTCAGATTGAACCTGTGGGTTCAACAGCCTAATAAGAGATTGGAAGTCAGTATGGTGGGAAGTATTGCTCATACCACCAGCCCTAGCAGCAAGAGTTAGTGACGTTGCCATTCGTGAAAATGGATTGGGTTTTATCTGGAACAGCCAAATCAGGAAGTGTGTTTTTTCACCACAGATCTCAAGCTGTGTACCCCAGACAGGGGCCAAAGATCCTATCACTGAGCAAATGATGAAATGGTTGTCAGCACATTGCCTTATCTTCCTCTTTCTTACCATGTGCACAGCAAGAACCGAAGTGCCAAGGCATTAACCCTGTCACTCAGCACAATCCTCGCGTACAGCAAGGAATGATTTTATAACATTGTTTTATAACTGGTGCTTTGTGAAGCTTCTTTCATGGCATTCCACAGGTGGGAACAGATGTGCATAGGTAAAGCAACAGCTGAGTAGGGTAAATGTGACTGAGAGTGCCATCCCTGACTCAAGTATGGAAATTCATGTTTCTGAAAGCTATGGAAAAACTCAAGAAACCTGAAA